AGTTAGGTCTTTGAGTGCCAAACTGTTACATCCGCAAACGTGGAATCCAGAAGCTTCTTGGGCAACCATAATATGCCATCGGGTTATTAACATGAAGACCTCTAGACATCGAAGGCTCAGTTCTTCTCAATTTTTTCTTTTACTTTTCCATCCTACCTAAAAATGTGAAGTCCTAATGAATATGTCCAAAGAGATCCTTCACTTTCTTTGAAACTCACACACGTCAAAATTCATAGTATTTAATGCTCCCCGTTCCTCCTCCGCAGTCCCATCTGTATCTGTGCAGGCCACTGTTGAAATGAACAGTCCTAATTATTTAGGAAAAAAAAAAAAGCAACAATTTTCCCATGCTCCAAATTCCTAAAACTGCTTTGAGAACTTCCTGATTTGGTTGCTTCAAGGCGGAAATAATTGTCGCCCGGATTCTGTGCCCTTTGTTGGGTTGCACAGCCTGCCTCGAAGGTACCCCAGAAGTGCCCTCTTTTCGTTATCAAGAGACAGACTCAGCATTTCCTTTTTTTCAAGGATCAAATGCTCTTCAGGGACCACATATGCTCATGTCTCTCTGTTCTAGAGTCTTGGCTGAAAAGAGAAGTTTGCTAAGGTTGGAGTGGCATCCTCATTTACTGTTTATTTCAAAGGGTAAGACCCAGGAACGTGGGAGACTGCTAGTTTCATGAGAAATTTTTGAAAAGACTTTTGAAATTAATGACAACACAAAGGAAGGGCTTCATTCCAGACTAGTGGTCTGAGGCTCCCAGGGCAGTGCAAAGTCAAGGAGCCCTCAGCAGGAGGGGAGCATGGTGAGGAGTCTCATCAGGGAGTCCAGGGGAATGGAGAAAAAACCTCAGAAAGAGTCTCCAAGGCAGGTCTGGACCCTCAAGTGTAACTGCTGAAGGAAACTCAGAGGTTTTTCTACCATAATTTTCGTGTTTTGTAGATGAGAAAGGGAAGGCACAGAGGAGGGGAGGGGACTTGTCAAAGGTCCCACAGCTGGAACAAGAGGCCGGGGTTCTGGCTTTCTACCCAGGGCACCTTTTAGCATATCCAGCTGCCCCTCTGTTTACGACACCTCCAAATTCCTTTTCAAGTTATTGCTTCAAGATTGTGAATGAAGCTGTATATATTGCTGTTCCTACATCATTCACTGTGCGTATTTTTGAAATGATGTTTTCATTAAGAGTTTTATTCGTGGCTGCCAAATAGTACCTGGAGCTTCTTTAGACTGGCGGCATGCAGCCCCAGTGAGGAGAGCAGGGGGAGCCCCAAAGACGCCCCTCCTTCAGAGGGAGAAGTGCCAAACACCGATGTGCCCCGCCGAGGAGGGCGGCTTCCTGTCCGGTCCTGCCCGTGGCCGCAGCAGGTGCTGCTTCTCAAGTTCGAGGCCACCATGTCGATGCTGCTTTGAACCGTGGCAGCTCCTATCAAAACCTGCTCCAAATCAGTAGGGAAAAGAAGGATTAGTCAGTAAATGGTCTTGGATTAGATGACTAACCATTCCGTTAAAAAATGCATCTCTGCCTTCTTATTCCTTACATCAAAATAAATTCCAGATGGATCACCAACCGAAGTGTAAGGAAGTGAAATCAGAAAAGTGTTAGAAATAAACATGGAAGAATCTCAAAACTGAATAATCTCACACTGGGGCCGGACTTTCTGAGGCTGTCAAGACACAAAACCCAGAAGCCATAGAAGAAAAGACTGGTAAAGTTGACTCCGTAAAAACTGTAAATTTCTACATAGCAAAGAATTTAAATACAAATAAAAACTTAGGGAAAAATTTGAGATAGATATATAGGAGGCAAAGAATTAATTTATGGCATGGATTTTTAAAAAGTTTTACAACTCAGTAAGAAAAGGACCTACAACTCAATAGAAAAATGGGAAAGGACAGCTAGAGGTAGACGAAAGAAACACCAATGATTTATAAACATAAAGAAAAGTGGCCGAGCACCTGAATAATTAAATAAATGCTAACTAAAACAACAGCAAGTTAATATTTTTCACCTATTAGATTGTCAAAGATCAAAAAGTTTTTCTAATAAACGTATTAGGCGAGGCTGCAGGAGAGAGGCGCTCAAGCACAGTTGGGAGATATATAGGTTGGTGCAAGCTCTTTGGAGGGAAAATCGACAAAATTGATGAAAATTTAAAATTCAGATACATTTTGAGCTAGCGATTTCTTCGTAAAGAGTTATTCTAGGAGATTTATGTACGTCCGAAGATGTTCATTACAGCACTGTTTGTTACACAACAAATTGGAAGTCATCTAAATGATTTTCAATAGCGAGTTGGCTAAATAAATTGTGTACCTTCCCATGATGGCATACTCTGCAGGATGTAGATACATACTGTCCCATGTGCGAAAGGATGTTGGTAAGGTGTGTCACTGCAACATTGTTTACGAGTAGAGAATGATGGGACCATTCAGGTGTCTTTCAACAGGGGCCTGGTTGAGTAGATGGTAGGACGAATCTGCAGTGATGGAAAGCCATTGCCAACACGTGGTCTTGGGAGACGGGTGAGAGCAGGTGTACAGTGCCTGCTGTCGGTGTGGTAAACACAGGGACACATATATGTTTGCATGTGCTTTGGCCACCTGAAGAAGACATCTCAGGAAGATGATGAGATGCCTGCCTCTGGGGAGAGGACCAGGGCGCCTGGGGAACAGGGGAGGAAGGGGAAACCCCCTTTTCCCTTTCTACTTGTTTGTACTTGGGACCTGTATGTTACGCTCTTAAAAATTATTGCTGATCCCAAAGAACTTCTGTTTATATGGGTTTCCTTTATTGATAGTCACCATATTAAAAACTGAAGCTGAGCTATTTTGAAAACACATGAAAACGCAAACACATTCCATCATCCATCAGAGCACTGATGATGTCAGAGCATTGCGTAGCCTCTGGAAAACGCCACCATGCACAAGTGAGGGAACAAGAGTGAAATAATAAATAACATCTTAATATTCCTAGGAAAATAGTATTGACTTCCTGACTCCCACCCCCAGGAGTTCCTGCACCACACTTTGAGAACTGCCATTACAGAGGACGAAAGAGGCACTTGACCGATGGTCAGAAAACCAAGCCTGCAGACCAGGGCTCTTGCATGGGACCAGGCCGGTGTCACGGGGAAACACTGTAGCCTGGTGTCACCCCTCCCCCTTGGGCTGATGACAAAGATCAATGGGGACTCCAGGCCTGGGCCTCACCTCCCACCGCCCTCCTCCCTCAACTGCAGCGTTTGTCGGTGACTGTGGACAACAGCCTCGGAATGCTTCCTGGCCCTGGGGGCAGGCGTGTGACCACCCGGCCTGGGGCCCAGCCCCGCCCCTCAGGCGATGCTGATGGCATGCGTGGAGTTGGCTCTAGAGCGGGGCTGTTTGGAAATGGGATTTGGGGCCTGAGACTGTTGGAGGTTCCATGTGGCAGCCTGGACTTAGGTGAGCCTAGGAAAAGCAACTCGCTCAGTTAACAGAAGGACTCAAGCCTCCGCCCGTCACAAAGTCTCAGAGCTGGTGGGGTCAGTGGGAGCCCAGCCGCGCTTCTTCTGCCGCTCGCTCCTGCCTGTCTTCAGCTTCACACTTTTTGCCTCAAGTTGGCGGTATTACAGTAGGGGAGGAGGAGTCATCCTTAAGTCTGGACCAAAACTTGAAGGAATGAGATCCTCGAGAGGTGGGATAGGAAGAAGTCGATCTTTGACCGAATCTTACCCCAGGTACCTTGCATGCATTTGCTGACTTGATGCTCACAACCGCTCTGTGAGGTGGCTATTATTATCTCCACTTTACAGATGAGATGCAGAGAGGTTAGTTCACCTGCCCAGGGTCACACAGCTTGTAAATTGTGGAGCCACACTCTATTCTGTCTGACTCAAAGCCCACGGTCTTAACCATTCAGCAATACTGCGCAGGATCCCTCACCTAGAAGGCTCCCTCTGAGTTTCACTTCTTTGCCCTAGACAATTTTGGAATGAACCATTGAGAAACACCTTATCTCTGAGGAGAAATGGTAGGTAAAAAAATGTGATGGTGCGGGAAGTGGGACACGTGCCTTTCTTTGAATTCTTGATGAAGTTTTGTTTGCAGGCAATTCTATATGAAATGAATCAGACCCGGTCTCACCACCCCCATTATCACCTCTGGGGACTAAGAAACTTACGTTGAGGTCAGGGACACGACTGAGGAAATCCTCAGGGTCTCCTGGCACTACATCTTGGCTCTAGGTTGCTGTGTGACCTCAGCAAATGGCTGACTCTCTCTGTGACCTTTAGTCCGTTCATCCATAAAAAGGTTTGAACTAAATTTCTTTTTTCCTTTAATAAAACAACAACAACATAATTCCAAACGCCATATTCAATTCCAAATTTAACATGAGTGGTGAGACTGGGTCTGATTCATTTTGTATAGAATTACCTGCAAAAAAAAAAACTTCATCAAGAATTCGGTGTCGACTGTTGGAGTGTTGATTGCTCATCTGGTGTAAATGTTTTCTGACAAACTCACGCAGGGGTGTGGCATAATCCTCTAATTTATGTTTGATTTTCACAGTTCCTGCATAAACCAGGTCATTTTTTTGCAAAAATATTCTAAGTCTTCATCAGTTTTCCCAAGAGATTCAGCTCAATCCTTTGATATTTAAATGATCTCTTTTGAAGCACCCACATTGTCATCACCCTCGGATTTTCTCTTCTTCCATTGTTAGCTCGTGTAGCTTTCCCAGATTCTCACTTGTTAATGGTGTCACATGTCTGATTGGAGCAATTTGACAGTAACACTTTCACTCATTTCATGAAAAGTTTATATTTCCAAGTATTTGCCATCTCTTTGCATTTTTACATGTACACGATGCAAAAGAGTTGACATAACATTTCTTTTTTTGTGGTGAGGAAGATTGGCCCTGAGCTAACGTCTGTGCCAGTCTTCCTCCGCTTTGTATATGGGACACTGCCACAGCATGTTTTGATGAGCAGTGTATAGGTCCACACCCAGGATCTGAACCTGTGAACTCCAGGCTGACAAAGTGTAGCACACGAACTTAACCATTACACCACCAGGCTGGGCCCTGACATAGCATTCTTACCTTAGGGGAACTGACTAGTGTAAGAAGGGAAGGGATAGCTGACGAGGTATGAAACAGAAAAGTGGTGAGTTCCTTTAGTGAATATTTTTGTGTTATGATGACTTTTGCTTTCTCTGTGCAACCTCATAACTGAAACTTGGGTAATGAATGCTCATATAACAGGGACCATGGGAAAGTACCCAGCCAAGTGTTTAGATAAGGAAGAGCAGATAGGTTTCACCCAGGGTGCCAGCTCTGATTGATGCCAGTAGTTGTCTGAAGCATTGTGTTGAGAAGGATCCTGAGGCCCTCTTTAGCCTTACCAGGGAAGAGTGGTTAATGATGTCTGAGGAGGTGTGGGAGGGGTTGAGTGACAGTCTGTGTGCTGACATAGCCCATACTCAGCAATTGCCAATTTTTCTCTCTTAAGATGGGGCAAGGTTGAGAGGGATATAAAAAACCTGCTTGGACAGCCAGATGGTGAGAAAGAAGCCTAGTGGTTATTGGGAATACACATGAGACTTTTGTTGGGTTGGTTTTTGCTCTTTCTGTTCTCTTGCAATTGTGCAAATGCAATTGTGCAAATGCAATTGTGCAAATGTAGATGTAAAAAGTGAGATAAGGCGGAAATGTTCTCTCTTGTGGTCTCTCAGGCTCTGGAGTCAGACAGATTTGGGTGTAATTCTGACTCTAATATTTATTGAGTGGTATAGGGAAAATTACTAAATCTGCTTCCACCTCAGTTTCCTCGTCTGCAAAATGGGAATAATACTAGGCGGTGCCGCATTGGATCGTTGGGAGAACTGTGTGCACAGCAATTTCCCTCTTCCCCAAACGAGGACAGCAAACTTCTCTCCCAGGAAAGGAGTGTGATGCAGTTAAGGGTAACGTGTGCAAAGCGTCAGGAGCTCGACAGCCACCTAACTCACGTATCAAAGTCTTGCCCCTAGGGTCACCCAGATGTCACTGAAGCCAGAGGGAGAATTTACAGATGCAAACACAGCCGGTGGGGTTACTGCTCTGGATTCTCAGCTCTCCCCTTCCTGCTTCTCTCCAGGAATGTCCTTGTTGCTTAGGCTGTACTCCCATCACCACTAATTATCTTAAAAGCTAATCAGAAGATACCAGGAAATACAGCATTCTCGGCATGCCTAACCTTTGCTGAACTCTCTTAAATGCTTTTGTTTGAGAGAAAATTGTTTTAATTCAAATCTATTCAATCGTTCAGTTTCAACCTTCTCTGTTTCACTCAAGCTAAGGGTGTACTTATTCTCCAGCCTGGGAGGGAGCCCGAAACTCGGCTTCATTTGCACTAAAAAAAAAAAAAGAGCAGGGAGGCGGAAGAATAGGGGGTGGGAAGAGGGAGGGGGAAGGTTAGTTATTTTACAGTCTGAGAGTCAATGGGGTGTTTGTTTTACCACCTTGTTTCGAGATTTTTCTTGTTGACATAAAAAGTTAGATTTTCCGGGGTGAGAAAATCAAATGATTCAGAAGCAAAGGAGAGAAAGATTGAATAGGGCACAACTTAAAATCTCAATAATGACTCGTGCAGTCAGAAGGGTAGTAAGATAGATGATGTGAACATTGATTACTCTCCTAACATAAATTGTCGGCGAGTCCCCTTTGTGAATCTGGTTCACTTGTAATTCCATCTTCAAGTGTGGGAGCATCCGTTCCGGGGCAGAGTGGGAGGAACCGGGAGGGAAAGATGCCTTGCTGCATCCGGGCGATGGTATCAGGTTTAACTGTCTTCTGGGCTCTTGAGGGAGACAGACCTGCTGTCTACCAGTCCAGGCTCTGCCACTTTCCAGCTGTAGGCCATGAGGTCGTACTTCTCAAAGCTGTAGCCTCCTCAACTGTAACACAGAGGAAATAGTCGTGCCATTATTAGTCAGGCCAGGCTAAGCTATGCTGCTCTGCCTCCACTTAATCGTGAGCAATTAATTCTAATGAACACTCAGCATTTTATAGTTTATTATCTCCATTTCAGGAAATAAGGGACTGGCCCAGGGTCACATGGTAACTAGAATAGCCAGGATTCCAGCACAGCTTTGAGTGTGCAAGATCTCTTTCTCGGTTTGGTACAGCTCACTGGTCTTCCAGGTGGGAGCCGTAGGTACTGTGGCAGTTGCTGCTCAACCAGGCTGCAAGCAAAGTAATTAGGTAGGGTAGTCCTGGTGCAGCCTCTCTGGAGAAGTAAGCAGAAGGAAAATTACTCATGTGGCATACACCACCAAGCAGAATTTTTAGAAGAAGCCCATTACCCTTTGTTAATTGGAAAAATAAATCCTTTTTTTCTTTTATGTTGCTTAGGCTACTTTCGCACAATCTATATTCATACGGGCCTGGCTTTCTCTGATAAAGGCGAAGAAGGTATGACAGCACCTGGAAGGAAGGGCACCTGTTGTCCTTTTAGCCATGAAGCTGAAGCCAGACCCTCTTCCTCTGCCTCTCCATTACTGTCTACACCACCCCACTGTGGCCCAGGGGCTGTTGCTAGTTCTCCTGCCCAGTGGGTGGAAGTGGGCACCGAGCTGACTATAATATTCCCCCTTGTTAAAGCAAGCCAGCACTTAGCTATCCCACACTTCTCAGCTCTTCTTTTTGCCTAACTTGCTCTAAAGCATTGCTTTTTAAACTTTTATGTGCCTGCGAAGCTGCCAGGGATCTTGTTCAACTGCGGCTTCTGATTCAGTAGGTCTGGGTCGGGGTCTGAGATGCTCCAGTTGCATCAGGCTCCTGGGAGTTGACGATGCAGCTGGTCCTCACACCACACTGATTACAAATAACACTGACCAGCTTTTCCAGCCAGGGCAAAACGGAGCATCTTGAAGCCATAGAGTTCTAAAAGAGATTTAAAAAAAAATGATAAAATACTAAGCCCTACCAACCACGCACAAAATAGTTTACTAAAATGGTCTGCTCTTTAAAAGGACTCCCCCCCGGTTCCTGAGAATGCGTTTAGAGTCAGCCGCTGCGCCAAGATTTTTTGCTGGACTCTCTTGCCATGTGTTTTATTTCCACGTGTGCTTACAAGAGCTCTCACCCAGGGCTTCAGTTGTGGGCCCCTCAGAGAACAGTGTCCCTAATTTGATCTCCACGTTAACCCTCGATGCCGATGGATGGCAAATGAGGACTGACAGTCTCCTGTCTGTGCCCTACACTGAGCTCTGGCCTTGGCTACTGTCTGTAGCTGTGAAGTTTGGCTCATGGAACCATGGTTCCCTGACCAGGGGCTCAGCATCCTCTCTCTTTGACACCAGTGACAAGCTTCGTGCAGCACTTGACGGTCCAGGATCCACTTGTGTACAATGTTCTCTATCTGGTTGATTCAGCAAGTCAATGGGCTTTGGCTGGCAGCAGGCACTCTGGAATTTTAGCTCCAGTGTTTTTCGTATTTTCATTTCGTTCCCAGCAGATCTAAGCAACTACTGGCCTGCTTCTGTCAGTCAGCCATGAATCTCCCTTCTGGGGGAAGGATGGGAAGTTCAGATACATCGATCATTTCTTTTATCTGCATCCCCTCCTCTCCCCTCCAGGCTGTGAACAGCTGAGAATGCAGCAAGAAGTTGGAAGACCCTCAGAGAGAAATCGGTAACATGGCTTCATGGACATTATCCACATATTACTTCCTTGTTGAGTCTCAAAGCCGTAATGCTTTCCTGCCACAGTCCTGATGATATCCATTGTGTGGATTCGAGAAGCTTTGTGGGTCTCAGTAGTGCACAACTCGGGGATGGAGAAGGAAAGTGTGAGGTGAACTCTCCATGTGGTCTTTATGCCCCTCACACAAAGCTGGGCTCCATGGTGACCACTCGACCCTGGAGACTGGTCAATGAAAGGCCTTCCTGTTGGTCAGCAGTGTCACCGATGAGCTGCTGCAGGGACAAGAGAATTTAAAAAGAGTTTCTTGTCAATCACCAAGACCCACCACTTCTTCAAAATGCTCCTGTGTGCAGCCTCTCCCTCCATTCGCCCTGCCTGCTCTCATCCTGCTTTAGCCCTCCCCCTGCACCCCACTCCCCCCGTGCCTTGAGACCCGCAAGCCCTCAGTACACGCTTGCAAGAAAAATCTCCCTAAAGAGTTGCTCTCCTTGTGCTGTTCCTCCACTTGGAACCCTAAAATAGCTCTCCATTGCCTTGGAGATGGAGCGTGAACACTTCTGCCCATTTCAGGAGCCCTGCAGTCTGCAGTTCCACGGTTCGTCAGCCTCACTTCCCGCCACTCTGTGGTGGCGGCTCAGCTTAGTCTCCTCTCCATGTTCTCTGCCCCTCTGAGGCAGTCTTCAGGACTCTGGGGTGCTCCCTCTGTCCAATTTTATTCTTCGAGTGCTTTCAAAGCACCTTGTTCTCCTTCCGACTCCCTGGCACAGTTGTCGTTCATGTATGGGTTGTGCAATTTTTGTTTGTTGTCTGTCTTCTCAGCAGACTCAAGCTCTGCGAGGGTAGGGGTGCAGCCGTAACAAAGTGCCACAGACTAGAAGCCTTCAACAACAAACATTTGTTTTCTCACAGTTCTTGAGGCTGGAAGTCCAAGATCAAGGTATCAGCAGGGTTGGCCTCTTCTGAGGCCTCTCTCGTTGGCTTGCCAATGGCCACCTTCTTGCTCCGTCCTCACGTGGTCATCCCTTTGTGCACATGAATCCTTGGTACCTCTTTGTGTGTCCACATTTCCTCTTCTTATAGGGACACCAGTCAGATGAGCTCAGTACCCACCCTAACAGCCTCCTTTTAAAGCAATCACCTCTTTAAAGGCCCTACCTCTAACTACAGTCACATTCTGAGCTACCAGGGGTTAGGCCCTCAATGCATGAATTTGAGGGGGACACAACTCAGCCCATAACACACCCTGTCCTTCTCTCTCACTGTTGTGTCTCCAGCACCCAGCCCCAGGTCTGGCACGTGGAAGGCAGGACTGAGCACAGCTTTGTTGCTGGAAGGATTGTGTGACACGAGCTGCTGTCTGGCCCTGAAGTGTCCTGCCCCTCATCCACCCATCACTGGAGGCCCAAATCTAGCCCTGTGCCACCTGCGAGGCCTCCTGAAGCCTGGCTGACTTTCTTTCTGAACTTCTCTAGCCTACAACTATGCACAGGGGGATGCTGCTGACTCTTTCAGGGATTTTAGCTTTGACCCCTTAAGTAAAGTAGACGTCTGGGGCTGTGCCTCCCTTGGATCAGGCACAGAGAGGTTGTTCCAAACCAAACTCCCTTTCCCCAGATGAATGTGTTGGTGATTTTCCCCTTAGCAGCGATCTGGATCCACCATGATTGAAACCTCCGTTGAGGAGGTCCTTGAGGGGGCTGCAGCCAGGTCCAGGGACGGGGCCCCCCAGAGCAAAGCTGGAACAGAAGCTGTGGATTTGGGTACTCTAACCAATAAATGGTGTTTCATTTGTCCTGGAGATCATCACAGACCAAGATGGGACACACCATCCACTCCGCAGCCTTTCCCAAATAATGGATTGACACATTTTACTACCTCAAAACATTTCAAGTCCGTGTGGATTTTGTTTTGTTTTCAGCCCTTATTCTCTTGCCAGCCCCGGGAGCATGTCTTCTGAGATTTAGACAGTTCGGGCCGGTTACACATTCCTGGGCAACTTAATTATTGACCCAGCTTGTAAATCATTCATAGCTTTCCAGAGGTATCTATATACTTCTACTGGCAGCAAACGGTACCCTGGGCTATTTGCAGAATGGAGGTTGGGGTCACGGAGAGTGTGAAAAATTAAGAATAACACAGCATCCTTTCCTGCCTGAACTTTAATTGCCCTTTTTTCCAAAGCTTTCTTCCTTTGCCACCCGCTCAGAGAACCTCAGTTAACTGCCAAAGAGCTTTCGTTTCACTCACCATTCTCCATGCCGTGTCACCCCAAGGATTCCAGGTGACTTGGGTTTCATCTAGGAGTGAAGTGGCTGGGGCCAGCCACCTTGCGAGAGTCTCTCTGGGTCACAGCCAGGGCTTTAGGAATGTAACATCTTAACATTTTAAGTAATTCTTCTAATCATATGCCTCAGGGGCTGGATGACAAACAAAGGCTTTCAGCTGGCCTGTCAGTGAAGTCTTTAGACCGGTTTGTGGTTAACCAAGGCCACACCCCGCCGTGAGCAGCAAGATGGGGTTTATTCACAGCCGTGTGTGGTGGGGGGCTGGTACCTCTGGGGTGTTGGGTGTCAGCCAGGCCTGCTTTCTTTCAAAGGAGAGGAGAGGTCCAGTCAGGTCTCACCGGTTGGCTATGGGTTCAGCTTCAATGCCTGTGAAAACAGGCACCAAAATAATCAAAGCACTGTGTGCCTGTGTCTAAATGGCAGCTAATCCCCACTCCTCTGGGGGAGCAGAAACCACAGGTGACAGGCAAGCCCTTAGGAGAATCAGCCATTTGGTTTGTTTGCCCCGAGTCCTATAGTTCCCAGAGCTGAAAGGAACCTTAAAGAGGTCCCAGCCCATTCTACAGAGGACGGAATGGAGGCTGGAACGTGTTCATGACTTGTTTCTGATTCTCTCTAAGGAGTGACCTGGAACCCAGGCGTTTTCCAGTTTAGTGCTTTCTTTCCATCCTGCCATGACTTGTTTTTCTCAAATGGATTATAGAAGCCTTCTTTACTCAAGAGTTTAAATTAATACAAGCTGGAAACAGGCCTATTTTATTCAACCTAGAAAAGAAATGAATGGCAAGAGGCTTTTTAAGGCAAACGATGGAATATGTAACATGCCAAAAGATGATGTCATAATTTACCAAAGCGAGAGGCAAATCGCTCTCAACTTGTTCAGTGAACACAGTCTGGTTCCCAATCAGTTCCAGCCAAGCGTGTCTGGAAGCACGTTTCCCCCACTGGGGAAACTGCTGGAAGAATTGGGCAGGCAGCTCCTTTGTGCTTTAGAACCGCCTCTTTGTTTCCCTCGGATATGCAGTGGTTCATTGGTGTGGGGCACGGAAGAATCCGGGAGAAGAGATGTGTCAGGGGACTGTGTGTGAGTGTGTGTGTGTGTAAGACTGGCCCTGAGTAAACATCTATTGCCAATCTTCTTCTTTTTTTTTTTTTTTGCTTGAGGAAGATTGCTGCTGAGCTAACATCTGTGCCAATCTTCCTCTACTTTATGTGGGACGCCTCCATAGTGTGGCTTGACCAGCGGTGCCAGGTCTCCTCCCAGGATCCGAATCCACAAACCCCAGGCCGCCAAACTTAACCACTACACCACCGAGCCGGCCCCTGGCTGGGGATTTTTAATAAGCTTTGAGTGTTTATAAGCATCCTTAGAGCCCATACTACAAAAGATGCAGCATTGCTAACCTTACAGAAGCTTCTAAGAGCGTGAGATTTCAAAGTCAAACTTTGCAGGCAAGTGGCCTCAAAGTCTTGAATTAACCAGCCACTGCCTTTCTCACTGACCTCATTTTTCTCCTGAACCTCTGTTAGAGCCAAGCAAATCCTTTTTCTAAATTCTACTCTTGCTTGTTATCACTCTGGCCAGTTGCTTTTCATATATTAACTCATTCATTTAATATTCATGAAAATCCTACAAGGTGGGTTTTATCATCCCCAATTTTCAGATGAGGAAACTGAAAGTCTGAGCAGATAAGTGGCTTCCCCAAGTTCACATGATTAGTAGTATCGCTGAGGCTACCTTCATTCCACAATGCCATTTTAGCAAAGCGCAATATCCTATAATTAAAAACAAAAACAGGGGCCAGCTGGTGGCATAGTGGTTAGGTTCACACACTGCACTTTGGTGGTCTGGGGTCTGCAGGTTCACATCTTTGGCATAGACATGGCATTGCTTGTCAAGCCACGCTGTGGAGACATCCCACATAAAACAGAGGAAGATTGACACAGATGTTAGCTCAATGACAATCTTCCTCAAGTGAAAAAAAAGAGGATTGGCAACAGATTTGAGCTCAGGGCCAATCTTCCTCACACACACACACACAAAGAAACAAAACTCTTGACCTTAATATGGAACTCTGCTTAGATAAGCAGGTGACCAAAGAATGTTGAAGACTGTCAAGAGAGTTCACACTGTGTGATTTTGGAGTCTTGTGCCTGTAAATGTGTGTGTGCGTGTGTGTATTATGGACCGAATGTTTGTGTCTCCCCCAAATTCATACATTGAAATGCTAACCCCCAATGAGATGGCATTAGGAGGTGGGGCCTCTGGGAAGTGCTTAGGAATGAGAATGGGACCCTCATGAATGGGATTAGTGCCCTTATAAGAAGAGACATGAGAGAGCTTGCTTCCTTTTTTCTCTCTCTCTGCCATAGGAGGACACAGGGAGAAGGCAGCCATCTGTAAACCAGGAGGAGAGTTCTCATCAGAACCCAGCCATGCTGGCACCTTGATCTTGAACTTCCAGTCTCCAGAACTGTCAGAAATAAATGTTCCTACTGTTTAAGCCACCTAGACTATGGAAATTTGTTATAGCAACTCACACAGACTAAGACTGCATGCCCATATATGTATATATTTACGTATGTATATTTACACGTTATTAACTTTCCTCCTTCTCAACACTTTCCCACCAGGATGAAGTCCTTGTTGGCTCGAGGATGCAATCAATGACTGCAGGCTGCTGGCTTTTGTCAGGTTATTCACAGGGCGGAGCTGTGGGCCCTAGAAGCACACCACTGTGGGCTTGTTTGGAGGAATACATGGTTGGGGGTGTCTTGTTTGCTCCCGGGGGCTGAACATCTTGCCCTGGCTTAACCAGTTCACAGAGGGATGTATGAGTTATATGTAAGGGAAGGCTTTCCAGAAACACAGATGGAAAAAGCTGTCTGAACACACGTGAGAAATGCCACTTCAGACTGTTATAGTCCTGCTATTCTCTCTCTCTGCACGTCTCTGGCTTCAAGTAATTTGCGAGGGCTCCAACCCCCAGTTGCTTAACAGGTCTCTCTCCTCCGCCAGTTTTGAAGCTTCTGGAAAGCTGAGCAGATGAGCCCAGCAGCCCTCAGTCCTGAAGGAGTCCTGCCTCCTCCCAGCCCCAACCTGGGGTCCCAGAGTGCACGTATAAGAACAAGATTTTACTTTCTCTATTATTCACACTGTTAAAGTTAAGAAGTATAATGGGATATGTAACCGCATTTATAGTTTGTTATTTTGTTATTTTTATATGTTGCATTTATTAAATCAAGTTTTATGTTGCCTTGTCTTAATTTTCAAAGCATGTGTTATTTAATATCAAATATTTACTCTCTTACAATAAAGAAAAAATACATCAACCAACAAAACATCATCGAGAGAGAGATTTTTTGTGAATGTGTGGATCTGGATTCATTTCTGTCTCAAGTGGGTTCCCTACCCCTGACCTCGATATAAATTAAGTTCTCTGATCTCTATCTGGCAGGGAGGGTGCTCCATGGAATAAAGATTGTTATGTGGGAATGTCTGCAGCCTTCCTGTCTTTCCCAGACAACCAAAAATAATGCTGTAATGGGCTGCCCAATTTCCTCCCTCCTTTCCTCTCCTAAAAAGGTAGTGGTTTTATTCCATTTTTAATCACTGGGAGAGAGGCTGTATCAATGTACATAATCAAGAGAGAGAAAGTAGAGAGGAAGTAAAGAGAGGAAAACATGAATGTGGGGCAGGGCTTAGAGAAAGGCCTGGGGGAATTGTGGAGAGAGAGGCTGGAGCACAAAAGCTGCAGATCAGAGTGATGGGTGGAGAAGAAAGGAGAACTCATAAAAGTCCTTGTGCACCATATATTTGCCTTCTCTTCATGGTTTCCAAATAAAGCATCTGAGTCTTCAGAATTCCTTTTCATGCTGGACTGTGTTTCTCTGATCATCACACCACCATGAGACTGAACCATGTGGCTCCTGGCTTTATACAGGTTATATGTGAAAAATATTCCTGTGTCTCCTCCATTTCCAGGGCTTTCTACTTCTTTGCTCCACTTCAAAGGCACCATAGTATGATCACACAACATCATGATTTGGCTCTCCTGAGGTGGATCACAGCCTTTTGGATGGGTCTACAATACGTCTAGACAGGATTCATCTCTACTTTAATTAATCTGATGAATCTGAATGGAATTGTTTCATTACCATAAATGCGAATCTTCCTAATTGGAGTTTATTTAAATAGGGAGTGTAGGGGAGGAAGACATTTCTTCTACCCTCTCTGGGTCCTTTTGGCTGGAGAACGAATCAAATTCACATGAGACAGAATAACAGGAGAAAATTAAACAAAGCTTTATAACATGTATACACGGGAGAGGCTCAGGCAAGCTGAGCAACTCACCAAAATGGCTGAAGACCCCACCTTAAATATCATCTTCAGCTAAAGACAAAGGAGGATGTTGGGGGTGGAGGGGGAGTTGATCATGGGAGGTTACCACACAAGTACAGTAAACAAATGCAGATTTAAGTCCTTGCCTTTGGCATTGATTAAGAGTTTCTAGAGATAAGGTCATCCCTCCTTCTTCCTGGTACAGAGAGGGAGACACCTTTACAGATGGAGATTTCCTTTACAATGTAAATGTCTCTTACAAAGGGTAAGTAAATTCTACTTTTCAGTTGCTTTCCTGTCTGCAGTTTATTAAAAGTAACCAGCCCCAAATAATCCTCATGCCAAAGAGACATATCTTGGGGTGGCCGATTCCAGGCCCCCACAGGAGGATATGGGGAACTTATTCTAAATGTATTGACTGGAAAAATATCTCTTAGATAAACTTCAAAATGTCTCAAGTTTTTCCATCTTCCTGTACGGAGAATCTTATGAGTACCTCACTTGTCTTGTAGAGATGTAGCTAAAACGATTTTTTAGAGGGAAGAGTGATTTTGCTGTTGTCCTTTCAAATTGTGCTTTTTTATTAGAGAAATCTTCACTGCCGTAAGCTGTCAGAAGATGTTGTGCTAAATTTATTTGTAACAGAAATATCTTCAGCAATGTTTTCCCCTGGATCTTTTACTAGAGAAGTTGTTTATAGTATTCATCAGGTTCAAAAATGCACTCTTAGGCAATGTTCACCAGCTCAGCCTGTCCACGGTGCTCACAGAGTCCAGGAGATACGTTGTGCTTCCTTGAACTGCAAAAGCCTCAGGCTTGGGCCTCTCTCTCATCCTTGTGGAAACAGAGCACTCTTAATATAGAGGCAGCCGACTAACATTTATGTGCTTCTTGTTTTTCCTCTTTTTCTCTGTTCATGTGTTTATCACCCAGCGAGAAGTTTGTGAAAGACAAGTTTTAAGTGATTAACGAGCGGGAGGCTTATTTTTGGTGGTTATAATTTCCCCAGCTCTTCTTAGA